GCAGTGTGCGGTCCAGAGCAATGCCCAAAAAATTCTGAATATTCAGCTGGCAAACCATGATGTTCCAAGCCCTGCAAACTGAATTAAATTGGACAGAGGAGTGGAGCTGGGGATCTTTCAGCTCACCTCAGTGGTAGTTGGTGGTGATTGGATTGGTCACTGACACTCACTAGCCAGGTTTTTCCCTGCTGTAATGCAAGAAATGTTGTGATTAAGTTTCCTAGAGGTTCTAATAAAGATCTAGTGTTGGTGCTACATTATCTACCACTAGAAGGCAATACATTATTGACAGATTTAAGAGCTTTCTTAGCTCAGCAGTTATCTGAGATGTTGAGCCTTTTGTGTTACCCTACTGCATCTCATGAACTCTGTGAAGAAATAGCATATTAGGGGCATGCTTACTCTGTTTCAGTGTCTATTCCAGGGACAAAATAAATGCTGTGATAATTGTGTCCAACAGGAGCAATTTTGGGATGAGGAATAATTTGATACGGGATTAACCCTAAACTTTGCATGAAGCCTTTAGCAGGCAGCAGTGACTTGCTGTGAGAGAACAGGCAGTGCTCAGGATGGGCTGTGTGGTGTCACTTGTGGTCCTTTTTGATCATACAGTCAGTAACATTGTCTGTATGGTACTGGGGAAACCAAAGCACAACCAGCTAGAGAAATTCCTTGCCAGGGAATGCCTCTTGCCCTGCAGTTCTTATTTCACAGCTGTGGTCTGAATGCTGCTGAAATGATCTCTTGCTCTGAGCAAGCCTTGTCTCTCCATGGTGGAGCTGAGGGAGGAGCTGCTGTGGTTAAGGCATCTCTAGCACTAACAAACCACTGGGGAAGAAAAGACACTTCTTTCTTAAAGCTTTGTCTCTGCTGAGAAAGAGAAAAGGTGTTGGAATCAGAGTAGCTTACCCAAACAGGCTTCTCGATTTACTGTTGCTGTAGTGGAACTGGACGTATTTGCCACCCTGACCTTGCTCAAAGCAAGGCATAAGCACAGCGCTGAATTGTTGGCACGTTGTGCCTTTGAGCTGTCAGCGTGTGATGTGTTGTGTGCTGTTGTTGCAGGCCCACCTTTAACGCAGTCCAGCCTCATCAACAGCCGTGACCAGCCGGGGACAAGCGCAGTGCCCAGCCTCGCGCCCGTGGGAGCAAGGCTGCCTCCTCCTCTGCCTCAGAACCTGCTCTATACAGTGTCAGAACGTAAGCAAATGCCTTTGGTTTCAGTCTGTTTGATGGAAACATTTTACATTTTCTCTGTTGATGTGTGATTAGAGGTTGTGATCTGTCTTCCTCCAATTTATACAAATCTAAAAAGAAGTCTGATGGCTCTCCCTGGCTCAGCCCATCATCCATTCTGGGATGGAGTGGCAGCAGTGCTCTGCCCTGGTCTGAGGAGGAGCACTGTGGGGAGCTCTGGGTTTCATGTGCTTGCAGCAATCCAATTGTTGTATAAGAAATGTTCCTTTCATCTTCAAGCCATTCAGTAGTGTATTAGTAGGTGAAACATGGATCTGCAAACCTGTAATTGCTGTTTAACTTAGGTTTTATTCCTCTCTACTTTGGACTAATACAGATGAGAGCTTTTCTTCCAGTTATATGTCACAATAGTCTGTACAGTCTTCATAGACATCAGTGCTTTTTCTGTTCTTTTTCCAGAATCACCCTGATTCTAGCTTTCTAAAGGCTGTTAGCTTTCACTGGACATGTCCCTCTTCCTTAACTGAGCTCAAAATTTTTAAAAGTATCTTTTCACAAGGGAAAAATATAGCAAAATACTTGAAAAGTCCTAGATTGCTCAATTTAAATGCAACAAAATTAATTTCTTTGATAATTAAAGGATTAATGTAATTCCCATATTCTCTATGACCAAAATAGAGAATTAAATGTTATGTTTTATAATATTCTCATCTGGGGTTTTTTAACATAAATATTCTGAATTTTATTCAAAGAGAGGGTATAGTTCAGTTCATGATCCATGTCATTTTATTTGTAACTTCTCTGCTTTTCAGAACTTGAGACACTCAGATTTCTTATTAGACAATCTGTTCAGTTATCCCCAAGTCCTGTTGAGTGTTCAGGTGTCACCATCTGATCCTTTCAGCTCCAGAACTTCTAATGGCTGATTGTGCCTGTGGGAGCTCACAGGGCTTCACAGTAATTCTGTTCTGCAGAACCTCTGTGGAGATTCTCTTGGGCTGTTGTGGTTGGAGCTGCTGGTTGCCCTCTTGCAGTCAATCATGTTCTAAATAAGGGAAGAGGAGCTTGTGGTTCTGCTCCTTTGAGGTTAGAGAAAGTTCTTGTTTTACAGTGTCAGGCACTGCTATCCATGTGGATATTGTGGGGCATCTGATTTTAACTGTAGAGTTGTCTTTGTTGCTGCAGAATAAGGAGCTGAGATTTTGGAGGCATTCATGTTTGTCAGGTTTCCTTGTACAGGCGTTTGTTCTGTTCCTGTGGAGGCTCTTCACAGACTTCATTCATTCTAGTTCTTGTACAGCTTTTCCTTTTTAAGGTTAAAAAAATGTGTTATCCTCAATTTGGACCTTGGGCTGGAGGAGAAATAGAAGTCAATTGTCATCTTGTATTCTTATGGTGACCACTTCTAATGGAAATAATCATTAGTACTTTACCTGAGCTAGGCAGGTGATCTCACTCTTGCATAGAGAGAGTTCAGTAGGTAAGTATTGGTTCCATTGCCTCATTTCTCAGCTTTCTTTGAAATCATTTAAATATGTTCTTCACCTGAAATTCTTTTCTGAAGAGACCCAGACTGTTGGGCAGCAAAGGCTGAAAATCTCTTTGCATCTTAGACTCTACAGTATAAATGCTGAAACCAAAACACTGCCAGACGTTGTGCACGCTGTCACACAGACACCTCAGGCTTTCCAGGCAGTGGATCAGCAGTGCTCTGTATTGTGACCTGTGTGCTTTGGACAAACAGTACCAGAATAAAAACCAAAAGAGAATGTGTTTAGATAGGCTAGGCCTGGATTCCAGGTGAGGGTTTGCAATGGCTGCACAGGTTGGCTGTACCACCTCTTCTCTTCATCCAAGACAGCTTCTGACTCTTGGACATCCGTGCATTTCCTTGAAGGAAAACTAACCCGGAGTCTTAAACTCACTTGAAAAATTCTGTCGTTTCTCTCCTTTTTTTGTAGATACATATGAGCCAGATGGCTATAACCCTGAAGCTCCTAGTATTACCAGTGCTGGTAGATCTCAGTATCGGCAGTTCTTTACAAGAGCACAAATGCAGCGTCCAAATCTAATTGGCCTAACATCTGGGGAGATGGATACAAACCCTCGAGGTAGGAAGGGTTCTGGTCATTGCTTTGCTATTTTTGTCCAAGACCATCAACACTTTTCCCTCTTTTCAGGCTGAAAGCACTAGTTTTTCTCACTGATCTAGTGTTTCAGAGCTTTTTTTTTTTTGACATTTCTGCCTTTAAGTGCTAACATGCCCACATTAAAGTCAAAGCAGCCTTTTTGATTAAAAATAACCACTTGCTTGGGAATGCTACAAGGGTTTTGTTGGTTGGTTGGGGTTTTATTCCTCTTAAACCTGTGAAGGTATTTTCCAGGTACTGGTAGCTCCTAGAAAGAAAAGTGGTGCCTAAAGGTGGATTTAGCAGCACAGTCTGCAGACTGCTTTTGATCAGCCGAGGGCACAGAGGTGATGATCCAAGCTCCTTGCCTTGGCTGTTGTGATGGTAGTGGAGAAGGGAGCTGCCATGGCATGTTTTGATGCTTCATGCTCTGACTCTGTCAGCCAGGTGTTCTCTCTGAAATGAACATCACAGGTATCATTCCAATTTCCCAGCTGCTGGGAATCCCAGTCTGCACTTGCATAATTCCTGGCCCCTGCCTGAATGGATGTGGCTGCTGTCTCTTAGTGGTGATGTGCACAAAGCATCTTTTAGGGAAGGGCACAGGTCAAGGCTCTTCAAAGTTTAGTTTGTAGTAGCAAAACTTTCTTTGTCCCTTGTGTTTTCCTACCCTGACTCTTAAAACCATAGATGTTAAGTTTTGGGTTTTATTGTTCTACTTCAGTATTTCTTACTCAGTAGATAACAAAGATTTTTTTTTCCCAAGTATTTCCTTCCAATGATTCATCTTTTAAGGAATATGGCTAAATATTGTTGTAGAAATTGCTGTTGCTGTTTGCATCTTAATGACTGTCACAGAGGCAGGGTTGGGGCTTCATTGAGAGCCCATCCCAGGGATGGATGAGTGCTCAGTGGTAGGGCCTCACTCAACATGTTTTACTGTCTTTATCACAGGTGTGAAAAGTTTGCTCTCAGATCATCCTCCAAAGTGAGGATGCCGTGCCCAGAATGCCCAGTCTCTGTTCTCACCAGTGTAACCAGCAGAGCCCTGGCTTATATAAAAGCCGTAGAAATTGCTGTGTAGCTCAGACTTCTTTTTAAGAGTTGAATATTTGACATTCACAGGAGACTAACACAAAGGGCATAATCTTGAAAAGGTTGCAAATAAATTTCTAGCAAACTTTGTGTTGGTAGAATTTGCTTCAAACTTTAAATCTAATGTCTTAAAAGAGTGTAATAGTTATGCTTAGTTAACAGTTTGTTCCCGAAACCTGACTGGAGGGCTGGCAGTGGGGTAGCAGTGGAAAGAATGGGTTCTTGGTTGCTTTTGCTCTGTCAAGGGTTCCTACAGGGCAAGCTGGTTATTAATTCAGCACCTGCCCATTGCAGAGCTCTGACTTAAAGCCTGGGGATCCACCCATGGGTTCTTTTCCTCCTTTTCTGTTTTGTTGGGATTTGGGGTTTTCTTTTTTCCTTCTCTCCCTTTCCTGCAGAATCTGAGTTTTTAATACCTGAAAAATGAAATTTTAGCTTTGTTTCTTCAAGCTAGTACCAGCCTTAAAGGTCAAAACCCATCCCTCCCAGCTGGACCATGTGTGTTTCTCTCAGGATGTTTAGTTAAGCTAGGAAATGATCTGAAGGATTTTGTTCAGAAACAAAACTGACCAATTTGATAAAGTCATCCTGATGTTTATGTTTTTTAATCTCAGTTTTGCTTTGCTGTGTGAAAACTTTTCTATGTGTGGTGGAATAACACAGGCCTTTTTCCTTCCCTCCAGCTGCCAACATTATCATCCAAACTGAACCTCCCATTCCCATTACAAATAACAGCAGCAATGTCACTAGAGTTGTCCTGGAACCAGACAGCAGGAAGAGATCTCCAAGCAGCATGGAGTGTCCACCATTGAAGAAACCCTGGTTGGGAAAGTAAGAGTTAGCTACACATGTTAATTCAAATGTACTAGATTGCTGTCAGTGCTGTGAACATTGCTACTCACCAGTCTCTGTCATTTGGGATGCTTGGGTCACAAAGTCTGTGTCCCCATAAGATGGAGACTGAACATAGGGTCAGGGGAAGCTCTCTTTTGTTAGTGGCTAGAGGGTGTAGTTTTTAGAGGAAAAATGCAATTTAGATGTATGCTAACATTTGCTGCCTTAATTAGGCACTTTTTTACTTATCTGAACTCTTCCTGTTCTCCTTTTCTCTAGGCAAGTGAATAACAACCAAAATAAGCCAGGATTTTTGAAGAAGAATCAGTATACTAATACAAAATTAGAAGTTCGAAAAATTCCACCAGAATTGAACAACATTACACAGCTCAACGAACACTTCAGCAAATTTGGAACTATTGTAAACATTCAGGTAAAAAACCAGTCACTTCTATGTCTGTGTGTGGATATTTTATTTTCCCTGAAGCCTGCTTGAATACTGCATAGTTTCTTCGAGAAATCTTGGTGGAGACAAACTGGGAGAGGAGGTAATCAAGTTCAGAGAAACCTTTGCTTGGTTTACTGTGTGTTATTTTCTTAGTACTGTAAAACATATTGGTTTTAGCCTTCATGATGACTAATTGCATTTGAAAGGCTGGCAGATTTAACAGTGTCTAAACCAACTCAGGTTTTTGAGCAACTTGTGTATAACTTTTGAAAGAGATGATCTGACAGTTTGTCTTATATGATGGTCATCCGTCTATTTATTTGAATGTGTATAGACTTTGCTGCAAGTACACGTAAAGTTTGCCAAAAGCTACTTTGCTTTAATTACATAGAGTGTCTTAGCAGTGTTTGGAGCTGTTAATACACTGGATACTCAACTCATCATTGCACATCATTTGTAGATGGGTTTGCTGATGATTGAAATGTTTTCTTCCTTGAGAAATAACGCATTTGTGACCTTTTGCTTTAGGTGGCTTTCCAGAACGATCCCGAAGCTGCTCTCATTCAGTACTTGACCAACGACGAGGCGAGGAAGGCCATTTCCAGCACGGAGGCAGTGCTGAGCAACCGCTTCATCCGGGTGCTGTGGCACAGGGAGAGCGA